GATCCTATTCTAATAAGATCCAGGGGAGCTGTTTGTGTTTTTCCACAGAATGAAGAAAATCCTTTTTGGGTCCCTGAAAGACTCACCCGAATCTTGTTGGATCAAGAAAGGCATACAACCCAGCCACCCAGTAAAGATGAGTAGGCCCCTTCTGCTGATGATCCTGACAATCGAAGTCGGGCTCGTTTAAGGGGAACCACGCTGGGGTATCATGTCAACCTTCCCGCTGCCTATGCTGGTGATGTATAATGCCCAAGTTTACCCCAGATTCTTTGTAACTAATAAAAATTTAGGCCTTGCCTATCTACCCCGAGATGAGCAGATTGAGGAGCTTATGGAAAACAGGACTATACCCCTTAAGGGAAGTCTGTGTTTTCTAGTAGAAGGAAATAATTTTAGCAGCCCCTGTATTATACTAGGAAATCTTTCTTCAGCATGGTTGAAAGAAGCCACGGTTGGTGGCAAAGCCTTTAACATCGTGGCAAATGCCACAGTACTCTATGGGTGGTGGCCACGGTCTCCCACTACTAATAAAACTTCTGCCCCACCGATTCAACCAAAATTGGCCCCGTTTTGTACTGGCCGACAAGATAAAGGATTGGCCTTGCCATGGACGGGGTGCCAATCCAGGGATGCCATGTGGGCCCTGGAAGGCCTGTTCTCTTTTTCTCCAACTATAGGGAGAGGATCAAATTTTACTGTCATGGACCCCGACCAAGCTAACACAAACCCTTTTGATCAGTGGTTGCTCTGTGGAGTTAATGGAAGCTGTACAGACCTTTCACCCCTGGCCATGTTAAAAGGAGGCATGGGAGAGCTAGGACAGTTAGAATATAATTGGCAGGGAAATTTTGGCAAACAACTCTCATCAGGCAAGAGTTCAGGATCAGGTCGTTGGACCACCACTGATATTAAATATAAGACCTTTGCCTATGAAAATTATGCTACCACCCCTGTCTGTGTTTGGCCACCATTTATTTGGATTGTTAGCAACAAAAGCCATGTTGAAGCTAGGCTGGAATGTGGGGAGGGGGACTGTTATTACACCTTATGCTGGGATGCTGAGAGGTTCCCCATTGCGATAGTGACCCGAATGCCACGTTTTGTACCTGTTCCGGTAGAGGCCCCCAATAGCATGTCATTATCTAGACAGAGAAGAGATTTCGGGATCTCAGCCATTGTTGTGGCTATAATTGCTACCACTGCAGTTGCGGCATCAGTTACAGCCTCTGCCCTTGCTCTGTCCAGTTCAGTGCAAGCTGCACAGAGCATTAATGATTTGTCCGCCACAGTATTTCTGGCTATAGATAAGCAGACCTCCGCTAATACTCAAATACAAGGAGGCCTTATGTTGGTCAATCAACGCATTGATCTAGTACAAGAGCAGTTGGATATTTCATGGCAAATGGCACAGCTGGGGTGTGTGCAGAAGCTCCCTGGCCTATGTATTACTTCTATCCCATATGAAAATTTTACTAGAGCAGCTAATCTATTTAAGAGCCTTTCTCAGTACATTTTGCAGAATTGGACTTCTGAATTTGAGCAGACGCTCTGCGAACTGAGGACGGCCGTACTCCAGATCAACTCCACACGTCTTGATCTTCCCTTCAACGAGGGACTGTCATCTTGGATCTCTTTAGTTGTTTCCTACTTCAAGGAATGGGTGGGAGTGGGAATGTTTGGCATGGCCATCTGCTGCGGACTGGTATTTCTCCTATGGATGGTCTGTCGACTCAGAACCCAAAATAAGCGAGACAAGGTGGTTATTGTGCATGCACTTGCGGCCCTGGAACATGGGGCTTCCACTGACGTGTGGTTGACTATGCTCAAGCAATAGATTGCTGACAAGACAGCTCTTGCACGCCCGGAACCTAGGTTCATTGCACTGGGCAAAGTGTCCTACACAGCACCCAAAGAGGGTTGTTGAATAAGGTATCGCACAGGGGGTCATTGTCCCGCTGAGAGACATGTCGTTCCGCATAAGGGTTGCCTGCCCGAGTTTCCCTTTCCCAGAAAAACGGCAGAGGACAGGTTGGGAGTATCCTGGGCTCCAGAGTAGACCTAGGGATGACTCCCATACATGGTCTGATCAAGATTTTAACTGGGAGGTTCGACCACTGTCTCTACCCTCTCATTTTGGGAAATCTATTTGCTTCATATAAAGTAAAAAGAGGGAGATGTGGGGAGCCACCTGCCATCCCTGCAGATGCCATTACAAGATGGCGCTCACATCCGGTTCATGCTGAGCAGTAAATAAGTCAGTACGCATGCCCGAAGTAATTTTCCACCTTCTAGTCTCTGCCTACCTCGTGGCGTGATATGGGCTGATGAGTTTGCGACCAATCAAGAGTTGCCACGTCCAAGACGGGCTTACTAACCTATATAAGGGCTGGGTTTCCGACATTCGGGGTCTTCGCCCTGTAAGCTTATGCTCTCCCTCTCAAGATGCATTAAAGCTTTTCTGCAGAAGGATCCTGAGTGTGCCGCGTCGTTCTTGCTGGCGAGACGATAGCACGGGACACTTAATGACTCATAGAAAACTTCCTTGCACCATTTGAAGGTACAGAATCTTAATTTTGTGTTTGATTTAAAAAAGAAACATTTTTATATGATGCCAGTCTTTTGAACTTTTCTAATAGAAAAAGGAAGGTGAAATAGTTGTAATTGAATTAGAATTCAGCACATAGGATTAAACAATTGCTTCACTAATAACCAGGTGATATTTAAAAGATTATAAGAAAATGTTATTAACTGTTTTATACTATAATACATTGGACAAATAAACCTAAAAAAGGACTAGAAAAATTAAAAAATGACCAAAATTGATTTTTAAATTTTATAAAGAATGTTAGGTCAATATTTATCTGAGACAATCAAGTTGAATCAATAAATAAAATGTTTCCAAGAAAAGAAACAGAGATAATTTTATTAAATACTTAAACAAAAACTGACATCCAAATCTTTATATTTCCTACCTCTTACAGTTACAAACCAAGGACATCATTTAAGCAAGGTGATCTTTTATGCTCTCTACAACTATCAGTGGCAAATAAGTTATTCTATTTAATATTTTATTTTTTATATATTGTGAACAAATTAGATATAGTGTTAAGAAAGCCCTATATTTTTACTGATGTTCAGTCTTTTTACTAAGAGATTCTGTGTGTTATGATACATCTGTGACATCATGTTTGCATCATGAAAATCAGAGCTTAATAGTGTCATTGGTACAGAAATTCAACCTTAACTCTGTTCTTCCATATCTTTCCAAACCAAATCTGGAAATTCAATTATATTTTCAACTGCTGAAGTTGACTTTCCCATAATTTCATGCTACACTTTTGCATCATTTAGTTTTTGAGTTCCTGAGTTTTTTATTTCAAATTTTATACAAGTTTGTCATTTCCTCAGAGACTCTATGTCTGTGTAGTTTTAATTTTGTGATTTGAATTATGTTAATTATTTCATTCAATCTCTGCATTTTTACAATCTTAATTCAATCTTTTCTTCATATCCTCTGTGAGTTACTTGAACATATTTATAATTACTATTTGAAACTATTGACTTCTGCCTCCACTAAGTTGTCATTCTTAGAGCACATTACAGTGTGGATACTAATTTTGGTAGCAGACATATTATCTTGGTTGTTTATTTGTTTGTGTTTTTTCAATGGGACCTAGTCATCTGGACTTGTGTCTTTGCTAGTGTTTCCTGCTATGGGTAGGTGATTTCTTCTTTGTTTAGTAGTTATTTGTATGTATCTTTGTTTGCTGTTTCCCTGACTTGTCAAGATATGGCCCATCTGGGTGATGCATGGTGTTAAGATTTTTCGGGCTACATTATGTTGATGTGCAAGTTGAGTGTAAGAAGCGGTCTCAATTAAGCTAAAGATAGTTGTAACTTCTGAGTTGAGATTTCGTGTTTGACTTGTCAGGGTTCTGGAACAGCAGATTGTGCTGGGAAGTTGTCAGATAAAGAGTTGATTGATAGATCAGGTTGGTAGAGATTGCTGGTCTTGAGGTAAAAGGACACTAGCAATTCATGCAGGTCTGAGTGCTGTAAAGGTCTAGAAAGGCTCCCAGAAGCACTCAAGAGACCTGGCAGCTGAGAGCCTCATGTCATAGCAAAAGGGGGTGAGGGAAACGAGACTTACCAAGGTAGGTCTGAGAAAGCCCCGGGTCCTGAGGGTTCACTGGGGTGCTTAAAGAGAAGAAATGAGCACACATATGGGGGATGGAGGAAAAACTGGATCTTCAACAAATGGTGCTGTCAAAACTGGATCTTCACCTACAGAAGAATGAAACTAGATCCTTATCTTTCACCTTGCACAAATGTCAATTCCAAATGGATCAGAGACCTCAATGTGAAACTGGAAACCCTAAAACTATTAGAAGAAAATATTGGCAGCAACTTACAATATATAGCTGTAGGAAAGGATTTTCTACATCAGACAGCAGTTGCTTAGCAATTATGGTCAGCAATAAACAAGTGGGAACTAATTAAACTTAAAAGCTTCTGTACAGCAAAAGAAACAATCAAAAAATAGAAGAGAAAACCGACAGAATGGTAAAAAATCTTCACCGGTGGCACATCTGACAGGGGTTTAACATCTAGAATATATAAAGAACTCAACAACAAAGAATTGAGAAACCAAATGACCCAATGAAAAGTTGGGCTAAAGATCTAAACAGAAAGTTCTCTAATGAAGAAATAAAGATGGCTAAGAAATATCTCAAAAAGTGTTCAGTATTATTAGTAATTAGGGAAATGCAAATTAAACCACCCTAAGGTATCCCCTTACCCCAATCAGACTAGCAAAAATGAAGAGAACAAATGATACCAAGTGCTGCCCAGCATGTGGAGAAAGGGGAATGCTCATTCACTGCTGGTGGGATTGCAAACTTGTGCAACCTCTATGGAAAACAGTGTGGAGAACTCTTAAAATACTAAAAATTAGCCTACCATATGACCTGGTTATACTGCTTCTTGGCATATACCCAAAGGACTCATCCTATTTTAGAGACACTTGTATAACCATGTTTGTTGCTCCTCTTTTCACAATAGCTAAGAGATGGAAGCAACCTAAGTGCCCCCTGAACTGATGAGTGGTTAAAAAAATGTGGTACATTTACACAATTGAGTTCTATTCAGCAGTAAAGAAAGATGAAATAACGAAATCTGCAGGTAAACGGATGGATCTAGAAACTGTTATACTAAGAGAAGTAACACAGGCTCAGAAAAACAAATCACCTATATTCTCCCTCATATGTACCTCCTAGCACAAAATTCTTTTAAATTCCAGGTCCTTTTAATAAGATGATGCTATACAACAGTCCATTATGCATGAAAAAACTACCATCATCACAATTTCTGCTGATCCTGTTCACTAAACATCCTCACAATTGGGCTTGTTAACAGTTGTGCCCATTCATTAAAGATGGTCAAGCATGGTCATTGGACCTTCACTGCATAATCCAGCCACTCTTCCCAGCCAACTGTATGTAATTTGACCCTAGTCAAACGTGGACTTCTGGATTTGGGGACGAATGAAGTATATAATCTGGGTAAGACTAGGAAGAGAAGACATGACCCATGCTGGGTAAAGGCTTTCCAGTGTGCATACCCTCAGGTCATACCTATACCTCAGCAACCTCCCAGTTATCTCAGTTAGTAAGCTCAATAAATTCATTGGTTCCCCAGTAAAACTTTAATTATACACTATCTCAACACTAGAACCTTGAAAGAGAATAAGCATTGCTTAGCATCCCCAGGGAAAAAAAAAGTCTTAAAACAGATGGAAAATTTATTTATTAATGTTATTATGTCTCATAATTATTTTTTTTAAAAAAAGAAAATGGGAACGTAAAAGATGTTAAAAGGATATGGGAATGGAGATACTTTCCAAAATAGAAAAAAATGAGAAAATCTAAGCAAGAGAGGAAGGTCTGTTTAGGTTGATATGATATATAAAGGATGAAACAAAAATAATATACACCTAGCTTTCCGACCTGCAGGCCTCTCTCTTCAGGGTAAGTCGATTAGGCCATCTATGCCTTGACTCCCCCAACCTCAATCACCCTCCCGTCTCCCCTGCTCTTCTCTCTTCCTAGCTTTGGTCCTTTCCTATTCCTTGTCTTAGTGCCCCAGACACCTGGGGAACCACCACTGCTTCTTGATCCTTTGCATCCAGAGCAACTCAGTTCCTTCTCAGTTTCCAGGTGGACTGCTTCTGGTCCTGGACCCACCCTCACCTTCCTCTACTTCCCTGGGACTGCACAATCTGCAGACCTCTCACCCACCTGCAGGCCTCCCTCTCCAGGGTAGGTCTGTCAGACACTCTGTGACTTGACTCCCCCAGTCTAGATGACCCTCCCATCTCCCCAGATGGTCTCTCCTCCTAGCCTGGGTCCTGTCTCATTCCTTGTCTTGGCACCCCAGACACCTGGGGAACCACAACATCTGCCTGATCCTTTGAATCCAGACAAAATCAGTTCCTTCTCAGGTCCCCAGGGGTGCTCTGGGCCTGGCAATGCCCTAACCTCCCTTGGCCTCCCTGGGTCTGCACAACTCACCAGCCTCTTTCTTGGACGCAGGGGCTGACCGTTCCTCTTCCTGGTCCTTTGCATCCAACCAAACCAGCTTCTCTGTACAGTCCCCAGTGGCCCTTCATCTCTGGGTGGCATGACCACCAGCTGCCCTAGACCAGCATCTTTCCTGGGCCCAGTTCCCAAGGTAGTCAAACCCCAAATTTCTGAGGCCAAAATCTATCCAGGAGGGATCCAGACATTAGGAGAAAGACTGAGAGCATCTGATCCACATTTGCCTTGAGCCTCTGTAGGAACTCCTGAAGAAAAAAGCAATCTGGCCACTCGAATATAAAATCCAAAGAGAGAACTGGAAGCTTAGAGGAGCCAGCTTTTCATGCCCAAAAATAAACCACAAAGACACATAAAGTTCACAAAAAGAAGCAGACCTAAACTTGAAGGCTTGAGTCTCACACATAAATCAGAAACTACCAAATAAATTCACATGTCAAAATCACAGAGAAAAAAAATAATGACATAAAAAACAAAAATAACATATCCCCAACAAATAACAATAGTCCTCTAGAGAAGTACAACGAGAAACACCTAGAGATAATGTAGGACATGGAACTCAAATGGACAACTATAAAAATGATAAAAGAATTCAGTGAATTTAAAGAACACACAAACAAAAAAAAAAAAAAACAAATAACTGAAGGAAGACAGGAATAAACTTCTGAATGAATTCAGAAAAGAGTTAAAAAT